GCGTCTTGTCCCTGACTGTTTAAAGTACACGGCATTTGGCAAACAATCGCACACTTTGCATTATTTGTAGCATGAACTGTAAATAAATACTACACTCAAGTTTGCTAGCAGACAGTCCTTTTGTGTTGTATTTTATAATCGACGTTTCTTGACGAAATAATAAACCATGTTTCAAGGGACTAATGTTTGTGTGTGTGTGTGTAACAACGGAAAATGTTCATGAAAATTTGTTTGGGGGGACCAGCAACAACGGAAGATGACATGAGTATATTTCCTTCTTTGAAACGCGCGCGTTTTAACATTTCTTCTTATATCAACGACACTGATGTTGCTGGGCATTTTTCCCATTTCACAAAACCTCTTTGATCTGTTGTATTTAGATCATGGTGTTTCCACATATCAAAGCTTACAACATTGTCATAAGTCATAAATGAATCAATTGTCGTCTCGCGCGTTGAAAGGTTAGTTTTCAAGTAAAACTGCATCAGAAACGTCTATGAACCGACGGCAAACTGCTGAAATGTCTTCCACTAAGTCACATGCATTTCCTTTAGAAGTGCCTATAACTCTTAAGGAAATTACCTTTCAATAAGCAATAAGGCTGAATTTTGACATCGTTTGAAAATTACATGCTGTGAAAATTTTGTTTCATAGAAAGTCGCAACTGTGAAGACTCCACAATCAACCAATAAACAGGTGCCCCATTAAACAGCATATTCATTGGAATTGGGGCACTTTATTCACTAAAACACTTTGCATAATTTATAAGACATCGTGTGAAACTGGCATAGACTGCTAATTAATAGCTGTATTTTTTTATTCCTCTGATAAAAAATATCAAACAGATAGTGTATATTTTAAACATCACTGAGAAATGAAATCAATATATTTGTGTCTATGTTGTGAGCACTCACTTAAAATATTTTGTCTTCATATAATCATAAACACTGAAATGTCTGTTGAAAGCAAATGAAAATATGACTTTAAGACGATATTCTACAATAAACCCACTTTGTCAGCCATGCAAAAGCGTTTCATGATGTGGTGATTTCATTAGTTTTCATATCAAAATCTGGAAGTGGTATATAATATTTCACAGCATCGCACGCACCATTGTTTACAATTCACCTGTCAAGTATGACATTAACTCCTAATTTGCCGTACACATCACTAGTGACGATTATCATGAAATATAAGTCAGGTTCCAAATAGTATTCATTAGTCTTTCAAATCCTTTCTGCTCGCCATTTTTTCAGGGTGCATTAACCATTTGCCTCAATAATTCAATATTAATGTAGAAAGAAATTGATACTGAAAATTGTATATGGCTGCATCTTCAAAAGAGATTAGTTCTTGTCGAATTTGCCAATCAAAATAGACTCCATAACTTGTCTATAAATTGACCAAGGTTGTAATTTTCTGCGTGATTTTCCGAAGAATTGCGAAGATATCTGGAAAGATAATTTTAGCTTTAAAAAAGATCGTATAGAGAGAAATAGGTAGCTTCAAAACGTAACGTTACTAAGGATTGCGGAGTGCTCTGTGCAAATGAAACAAATGAAATAGACAAAAAGTGAAATCGACAACAAATGAAATAGACAAGTGAAATCGACAACCTACTGAGTGTAACTGACACCACTGTGCTATGAACACGTAAACACTTCAGGTCACATTTCAGACAGTTTGTGTGGCGTTCTGATTAATACAGTAGCAGTCTCTTTTGTTGTTCTGGTTGTGTTGTTTCTTGGTTTCGTGAAATGTAATCCAACTCCTGTTGTTATTTACGATTACGTCCTTGAGCGTTATAAAAATATCCACAAGTAAAATGTTTTTGTTCTACATCTTGAACAATCGCGCCCTGTATCATCCATGTTTGGTGAGCACCTTTGAAATTAGTGTTTAATATTTCAATGAAAGAGAAACAATAGGTTGTTTTCTTACATACATTTTTCTAACCTGAATATTAAAGAAAAACATTTCCTGAAATTTACTGCATAGAGATTTGGTCGAATGCGGATAAATACAAATTCGTGAGAATCGATAACCTTTCTAGTATTCATTTTTATACCATGCTCCTAAAACACCACGAGACGCCTACACGGATGTATATTAAATATAAAAAAACAGAGATCTGTTTCGAAGGCATAATGGTTTAACTGTCGTTATGTCAGGTGAAATATTGCAAGCACAAAAGAGAATCTTAAACTGTTTGCAATATCGCTCAGTGAATCTCCTTCCGTGCGTTATCGCCGCGGATGTATGTGAAATACACGTCGTTTCTTTTGAAATATACACGTGAGCATTTCATAGTCGGTGTTGTTTTATCACCGATTATCGTGTACAGCATGAAAGCACGGACCTAGAGATCACATTATATTCTTCTTGTTGACCATTCAACGTTGACATACATATTTGAAAGCTTGAGAAACTGTACCCGGCAAATGCGCCCCCCTATCATGCTGTCATCCTTGACAGACTCAACGTCATTGAAGGTTGTCAATTTCTGAATGCCGACTATACCGCGCGAATAAATACATTGACAAAAGATGAGATCTCGCGGCTGGGAAGGGTTCAGGCGATTTGTGTTAGGGACCCATAAGAGTCGGCTTTACGTCAATCTGATGTTCTTTGACTACACCTGGAAACATTATACTAGTAAAATATATGGGTTTTTTGTGTGAGTTGTTTTTTGATAGGCCTTAAATATTTGACGTTCGAGTCCTCGTGAACAAGGGATTATTGCTTCTGCTGTTTTCCAGAAATGCATTTGTATGTTTCTCTTGAGATGTTGGTTTGTTGTATACATTTTTTTAATTTATCACTTTTGTTTGTTTTATAGTTATTGATTGCCACTCCCGGAATGCTTATTGAAAAAAAAGATTGCAATTAGGAATATATATATATATATATATATATAAGCTTTCATACCTTGATCGAAGGTAAATATTCTTTTACAGATATTAAAAATTATCATTTTTGATGACGTGAATTAATTTAGAAATATTTAAATTGAGCTTAGTTAAAACATTAAGCAACTGATATCATAAATGAAATTAGTGTTGATAAATTGTTTCATTTTTAATATAATGAAATCACCATTTCCTTAACATCCGAATCAGCAACATTTCCGAACATGTATATAAACTATCATTCAATTATAATGTGTATCTCAAATTGTAATTTTCGTAGCACCCACTGGCAAACTAGACAGCCCCATGTTACAATTGAGGGCGGGTGCTACCCATCTTTCAGTGACTATCCTCATAGCACAGAGTATAACCTTAAACTACGTTTCGTCGGATCGTATGTCATAAATTGACAAGTGTCTATTTCAACAATGCACATGTAAATTTCATGAAAGATGATATCGATATCACCAACAGACCGCCTCGTGTTTATGGGGCTCAGTTAATATCTCAACGACAAGCAAGAGCCCAGTGGTACACATCGCTATCATCTGATGCTAATTTCAATAGTTATTGCTTTTATAACAGAAATACCATTACCTGAATTTAGATATAATATAATGCAGTGTTTTATTTTATGGATGTGAAGTGCATCGTAAATTGGTGCAACACATTACAGATCGCGAATTATTTATTGGACGTGGTTTTTCAGGGCTTGAATATTGAAACTGATAATTCACCATTACGGCAAGGCTAATTACAAAGGTTAATTGTCACTTAATATATTAACTGACTATCTTGAGTCATTCTGTTAAATAGTAAATAATAATAGTGACACAAGAATTTGATATTTACCCTGCCAATCAGAAACAAAATCTCAGCCGGAATCTGCCATGTCTTTACGAATGAGAAAAGCTTAATATTAGGCGCTTTACAGTTGTCCTGTAGTAAATGAATAATTTTCTATGAAGAACAGTCGTATTATAAAATCAACCTATACAACCACACATGGTCGGTTGATCAAAATACGTTAATAAGAAGTGAACTATGATTTCAGGCGAACAGGGTTTTATTAGGCGAGATAAATATTCGGTTAGGTTTAGTCCATTGAGGCAGATATTTCATAAATTCGTTCCAAATAAAATCCGACACATTTTAAAGTTAAAATCTGAAATGAAGTTATTCTAATTCAGCATTCCTGCCTTGTACGCAGCTTTTCAATGGAAAAAAAACCCAGCACGTGCCACCTATTTCAATGAATGTCACGTAGGTACCAACAGACATGGAATCAGCTGTGGAGGAGTACGTTGCGCGGACTACCATAAGAATATTAATATTACAAAAGCATGGCCCTAACATCTAGTTTTTGGCTCATGAATTCAAATCCATGAGCCGATAAAGTCACATATCACCATTAGTGAAGGCATTAATTCACATTTCTCTCGCAAACCTTGAAGCCCATGTCGTGTTGATGTCTCCGTAACAAAAGTCACGCCGTTGGGATAAATTAATAATAATTTTATCCACAGTCGCCTGTAATTTCTCGGTGCTAATTTCAAAATCAGGGAATTTTATCTACGGCCTTACGTTTCAACAATTCTTCATCTAGGATCATTACGTTTCAACAAGTATGTGTTTATCGTATAGTATTTGCTATAACTCGAGAGTTGTCGTTGACAGAAGTTTAAGCAAATGTCACATGTAAAATTGTTTATTATGAAACTCTATATCCTATATATTTCCGTGTGTTAAAATTGTGTAGTCATATCTGTACATGCTGACATGCATATTCGTTATGGACATGTGATGGAATATCACAACAACGGCTCTGTAAAAACAAACGGCGAGGTTTAATTATTGCCAACATTTACAAATTCTCGTTTGACTTATTATGTCAAATAATTTGCACATTATCTCAATTTGGGCGAAATGCTGCTCCGCACTACACAGAATAATACACTGTATAATTATTTTGGATAATTATATAAAATGCCTTAAGTCCGTCTTATATCATATATGCAATGGCAAGTGTGTGTATCAACGTATAGACAGACATTCAGGGTAATTCTGAAAGAAATTTAGTTCTCAACTCACCGGCCAGATTTGGTAATAACCATTTCAGTTCCCAGTTTGTGGAAAGCTTCCCATAATTCCTTTCCTTCCAGTTCAACTTTAGGGTCGTCTTGAACCTCGGGTTCCGGGGGTTCTAAACCCCTGAGGGGACGGAACGGTTGGGGGTGGGGGAGAAAGTCACCAGGGATGAAGGGGGATCTACCCATCGATTGCTGCAGTTTGGGCACCATGGATGCAGGTATTCCTGGGTGGTGCAGGGGGGACAGTCCCGGCAGCAGGGGGTGCTGACCGAGGAGGGACCCCACGGAATAATCCATGGAACGATGTAGAAAAAACGGGTTGAATGCCATATTTGAAAGCTGTCTTTAACCACCGATTTAAACCTCACTAAAAGGCAGCACTGCTTTTACCTGCGTCAACATCGAGACGCGTGTGTTACGAGATACCCCAAATCCGTGGGTCGTTTTCAGTCCTATCCCGCGAATATTAGATTGTGTGCTTCATATGTCGTAAACCTCCGATGTTGTAGAGTGTAACGGCAGTAAGGAATGCCGTAGCCTCGTCGTCGTTGACGAGGTCTTGCTGCTGTCGCTTCTTCACGCCGGTCTCCGTTATCGCATAAGCTCGTGATTGGCGGAACCGCACTACCGACTGAAATACGTTGAGAAGAGCTGGGCGTGTTTAACAAGCTGGCGCGATAAGAGCCCTTCAGCCGTGTATCAGTGCTCCTCGCATTATGTGCCTAAAGGCATGAGTGTTTTCCCCATGTCAAGCCAGTCCGGGGCCCCTCCCCCTCCGAATGACTCCATCAATAACAACCGCCGAAGATAAACTCGAGAAATTATTTTCAAGTACTCCGCGCTCGGCATCTATTGAAAGAATTAAGAATCAACATGGACGAGTGATGGTTAAAAGACTGCTTCGGGACACGCACTCAATTCAGTATACAAACAGCTCGCTACTCCCCGCCCATCAAATTTAGCGGCATTATCAAGCAGAGGCTCCCCATCTATTGGGATCCGTGGAGCTTCATCGGGTCAAATCTATTGTGAATAGTCACGTGACAGCCCCACCGTATCCAATATTCGATTACAAAGCGCGTGTTGTGTGCTATCTTAAAACGGGGGCTGCGACAATGACTGGAGAACAGTTCGCCATGGTGGATCTATGGCTTGATAAATTAATCATCTTGTTCTGCCCAGGAATGGCGATTTTAGCTTTTTTACTCCAAGGTGAGAAAGTTCGCTCTCGGAGATTTCTTACCCTAGACTTAAGTGATATTAAATCAATAATAAATAACATCGCATACACGCAGCGGTCGCTGATTCACTGCACCCTTCTTCTTCTAGCCATCTGGCTGGAAGCTTGGATGAATAGTTAATTATAAAATTGTACCAGTACTATTGATGTCGTTTGTGTCTTAATTCTCATCACAATTATACAAATGGCGATCATTTTATTCTTTAGAAATCCCCCAAACTTATTCCCAGGATAAGATGAATCAGGATTAATGATTTCGTTCATTTTGCTTGGTTTTAAGAACTCATTTTGGGTTTACCTTAAAAGTTATTTTTTTGTGGAAAGCCAGTGAGTACATGGCAAATAATGCAACAACTAAGTGACATTCTGTCGTGTGTCATTCACAGGTAAAAGTGTCAATGTTTCGGACAATCAATAACTTATATATAATTATTTTTGAATATTGAAAATGATCAAAGAATTTGAGATAATAAAAAATACACACCAGCCGCTTATAACCTTTTCATTCAAAACATAAGTGTAACCTCTCGCTTTACAAATAAGAAATATGTATCTACAGCTCAACTCCTATTCTGCGGGCTTGTTTAGACGGATGAGTTTAGTTTTAGGCCGCACCCAGCAATATTCCAGCTATATGGCTTGTTTAGACGAGCTCATAAGGTGTATAAAATGAAAATGCAACATCACATAGAGTGTTATCGCTAAAACTTTTCAAATAGTTCCACAACAGAAAAACAGTTGAGTGAGTGGCATCAATTGCTGTTCTGCTGTGGAAGTATTTGAAATGTTATAGTTATTTATAAAAGAAACAGGTCTTCAATAAATGCTTGTCGGGAAAAACAACATACCACACAAAAAATGAATTATACTTTATTGATTGTTATTGTGGGATTTTTCCCAACGCTACAAACGATTTGTTTTATTTAAGGTTCGGTCACTAGAGTTTTGGAATCACCTGTGGGTGTGGGTATATTAATAATAGTTGATAATATTAACTGCGTATACAAAACCATGTAAGTTATTAATTATCAAAAAGCATGTGTTACCATTTATGCTCTTTGCATTTTTATTGCCACCGTTTCTGTAGCTAACAAATTAATAGAATGAAACTGAGGTAATTCATTTTCATCGTTCTATGAAAATTTTAAATTCCGACCAGATCCACATACAGAGCCAGTATTGAAATTTCCAAAGCGTATATCGCGTCAGCCCATACTAATGTCATTATACTGCAATACGATTAATGCAAGGAATCACCTGTCACGTATAACGACTGACTTTGTAGGCAGATGACGTTTGTTTTTCGGAACAAGCTTGGATCTAAACTGGCGCCATGCAGCATACCAGTGTGTGCCCGATTTCAGTATGATTTAAATATATAACTAAATAACGGTGCCACTATGATACCCACCTGTTAAATGGTTTGAAAATATTGGTTAGACGTGAATCCATTGGGCTACATTGTGCACGTGTGTTCGTGAACAAAAACGCACCCAAACGCTCGCACAAACACGTGCATTGAAAAAAAGGAGGGTCTATCAACCTTTCTTTATAGGCCCAAATAATTAAATCAATTTTATTGCAATATTTGCAAAACGGAAAATTTGATTCAGGAGTTTTAGCTTCCGTCATTTTCAGTTGGGTTAAGGAGCTACGGCCACTAGGTATTGATGTCCAGAAATTCAGTTATCAAAATGGACCTTGATAAAAAGAGATCCGATGTTTCGGATGTCAGAGACATCGGTGTTCACTAGTTCTCTGATGTGAACACTGCGAACAGGTATAGCCAACCATCCTCACTCACCCACGCTCGTATGTTTGCTTATTTCTATCAATCTCGTTTCGTTTGCCAAAGTCTCGTGCAGTGCTGCAACGTTCGCCATTACCAGTCATTTCACGACTCTTGGCGACCTCTCGATGTCATTACAATGTCATACTAGTGTTAGATTTCACTCAATTAAGGTAAACATGCGTAACTGACACGTTTTACTGTTATTGTGTGCTGTGGTATCTACCTACATGTTATATCGTCTTGTGTGTTATGGTATTGTCATATATGTGTAACATCGTATTGTCATATGTATAATTGTATTGTCGTGTGTGTATTATTGTATTGCCATATGTGTAACATTGTATTGTCATATGCGTGTATTATTGTACTGTTATATGTGTGTATTGTTGTATTGTCATATGTGTGTATTATTGTATTGTTATATGTGTGCATTATTGTATTGTCATATGTGTGTATTGTTGTATTGTTATGTGTGTTAAATATTGTATTGTCATATGTGTGTGTATTATTGTATTGTCATATGTATGTATTTTTGTATTGTCATATGAACGTATTATTGTAATGTCATATGTGTGTATTATTGTATTGTCATATGAATGTATTTTTGTATTGTCATATGAACGTATTATTGTAATGTCATATGTGTGTATTATTGTATTGTCATATGTATGTATATTTGTATTGTCATATCAACGTATTATTGTAATGTTATATGTGTGTATTATTGTATTGTCATATGCATGTATTTTTGTATTGTCATACGAACGTATTATTGTAATGTTATATGTGTGTATTATTGTATTGTCATATGTATGTATATTTGTATTGTCATATGAACGTATTATTGTACTGTCATATATGTGTATTATTGTATTGTTATATGTATGTATTTCAGTATTGTCATATGAATGTATTATTGTATTGGCATATGTTTGTATTTTTGTATTGTCATATGTTTGCATTATTGTATTGTCATGTGTGCATTGTTCTATTGGGATGTGTGTTTTATTGTATTGACATATGAACGTATTATTGTATTGTCACATTCCCAACTGAAAAGAGCATATAAATAGTTGTAGCCCACGTTGGTTTCAATCAAGTGATGGTATGTCGTTGCATGTCCAGTATGGCCGTCCTTTCGAAACATCTTCTCCCCGGTAATCAATGGACCAATGAATTTGAACTTACTTATTCACACCAATGATGACACCCGACTCGGTTCAAGAGGTTCGAATCAGCTTTTCAATATGGCCGCGTCGGCAGCCATATTGAAAAACCAATTTGTAGTCATTCCAGTCATCTGGGAATGAAACTAAGGATATGTGTAGTAAGAAGTGTAGCTCAACACGTTCAATTTTCATGATTTATAAACTGTTGGGGTTTCTTTGACGTCTACACTTTCACGGTGCTCATAAATTCATTTAAAGACATTTATTTTCTAAATATCGCCTCGCAAAGGGAAGCTGTGCTCGTGTGTTTCTTTTCTCCTCATTATGACATCATACTTCGTTGAAATCATTACATCTTAGTATTACAATTTTAGCCCTCAGTAATTTTGCAGACTTGTTATAATATCAATGCTGACAGCTTCTGACTGCCTGTCTCTGTTTATATCTCATGCTGTTGCCATATCCAGGTGAACTACATTGGTGTGGAATTATATTTAATTCTCTTTTTTATATATTTGAATAATATTGTCGTCATGTCCTGTCGGATTGGGGTATTTGGGAGTAGGCAATGTTCACATTCACGTTGTGAACACAACAATACCGCAACAAATCAAACATCCAGGTCTACGGCGAAGCACATTAAATCTATTTCTGAACTGAGTGCTGTGTACTGTTTAACACCTACATTGTGTACATCGAGCGGGCTGTTGTTTTATTCTCCGATAACATCTGGTGACTCAACTACACCACCGAACAAAAGACCGTATACATTCATGTTTGATGCTAGCTTACAAACAGAAAACAAACACGATATAACTGGTGATATTTGTTTGTTTGTTGTTTAACGCCACACTCAGCAATATTCCAGCTATATGGCGGCGGTCTCTAAATAATCGAGTCTGGACCAGACAATCCAGTGATTAACAGCGTGAGCATCGATTTACGCAATCGATTTACGATGACGTGTCAACCAAGTCAGCGAGCCTGACCACCCGATCCCGTTAGTCGGCTCTTACGACAAGCATGGGTTACTGAAGATCAATTCTAACCCGGATCTTCACGGATTAAATGGCGATGTGTATGATGCGGACATCACAGATAGGTCTTGAAACTCAAGTCTGCAATGTTTAAGCGACTGTCTTTTGCCAAGTAACATTCTGATAACGTTTATATTTTTATTAATCCAATTTTATAGTGTAAATCTCATTTGCCCCGCTCGTTTATGCAACACGAGTTTTGTTGATCAATTTGTTGGCTTCGGTCCATGGTGTTTAAATCAATGAAATATCAATTCAACTACAATGTAGAACACCATCACAGTGCACGCTCGCTCATAGGTTTCCGCGTGTGAAGTTTTAAGCAAAGCATCACGCAGTAGAAGATAATTGTATTCATGGAAAACATATTGACATCTGCCATATGTCAGTGTTTCATTGTCTGACTCCATATTATGCATTCAAATGAAAGTACATCAGCGTCGCAATTAAATGTACGTTCTAACCTTAAGCATATCGTTTTCATCTAAGTGTAGTTCACAAACCCATCGGGGTAGCCTAGTGGTTCAGGCGTTCGCACGTCACGCCAAACATCCGGGTTCGATTCCCCACATGGGTACAATGTGTGAAGCCCATTTCTGGTATATCCCGCCGCGATGTTGCTGGAATATTGCTAAAGAGGCGAAAAACTAAACTCATTGACACAACCAGCTCATTGAGTTGCCATGTTGCTATATGATAAACATATAGTTTGAGTGGTGAAAAGTC